GGCCCGTCCAGATTGCAACCTTGTTGAAAATCGATGCGAATCGCTGAGAATTTCTCCTAGAATATCCTGAAAATTAGGTTCAAAAATTCGAGTTTTTAAAGAATTTCTGCAAAGTTCTAAATAAATGACACATAAAAATAGAAAAATCTAGGTGGCGACCAGATTTTTAAGAGGAAACTAGTAGTATATAATTGTCCTTTCTAGAACACTTTTGGGCCCGCCTCTAATTATTACCACTTTTGTCAAAATTTGATATCAATATCCAAGGATAACCCAATTAATCAATCAAAAACGACCTTTTAAAATGACCCCCTATTTTCCCGAAAATTCCTCGGGCCCTCCATCAGATCGTCAGCGCTCCTTTAGCGCTCTGAGAATTCCCTCTAGCGCTCTGAGAATTTCTATTCTTAACACCAATTTCAATCTCACATATTCTTCATTAAATTTTTTGTTTTATAAATGTATTGTTTCAAATGTCGGAGCAGTACAGATACTACCGACATATCTCAGATTTTGAGCATTAACAACAAGCAGTTGTTGAGAGGAAAATGTGTAGTATGCAAACGAAAAAATGCAAAATAATTCCCAATTCAAAAAGTGGAGGTACTTTAAAATCCATCAAACCCTCTACCAAAGAAACTAAAAAATCGGAAATCAAACTAGACGATGCATATTACAACCCTGAAACTGGATTTTGTGGAATCAATGAACTACAAAGAAAAACTAAAAAGCCAATTGAAGAAGTAAAGCGATTTCTGAACGAGCAAGACGTCTACACTCTTCATAAACCAGCTCGTAAAAATTTCAAATCTGAAAGAGTTTATGTTCACAATATTGATGAGCAATGGCAATCAGATCTTGTTGAAATGATACCGTATGCAGAAGAGAACAACGATTTCAAATATCTTCTCACTGTCATAGACTGTTTCAGTAAGTATGCCTGGGTTATCCCTCTGAAAACAAAGACTGGAAAGGAAACTGCAAGCGCTCTACAAACGATTTTCAAACACAGGAAACCGCAAAAAATGCAGACTGATAATGGAAAAGAATATTACAACAAAGAAATGAAACTACTGTTCAAAGAATCGGATATTCATCATTTCTCAACATACTCGAACAAGAAAGCTTCTATCATTGAAAGATTCAATAGAACTCTAAAAGAAAAAATGTGGAAAATGTTCACTCATCAAGGTGATCATAAATGGGTAAATATTCTGGATAAGCTTGTTACAGGATACAATGACCACCATCACCGCAGCATAAACATGTCTCCTATTGAAGCATCCAAGAAAGACAACGCTGAGCAAGTTTATGAAACTTTATTTCCCTCAACCGGAAAAGAAATGTTTAAAAATGAAAGTCCTATAAGAAGCAAGTTCAAAATAGATGATACAGTTAGAATAACAAAGTATAAAGCTGTATTTGCTAAAGGTTATCTACCTAACTGGAGTACAGAAATGTTTAAAATTTCAAAAGTTCATCCCGGAGACGTTACTACTTATTCTATCAGAGATCTAGCAGACGAAGAAATCACAGGAAAATTTTATGAGGAAGAACTCACACTCTACAACAATGTAAAAGATGAACATAAAATCGAAAATATTATTAAACGTAGAACTAGAAAAGGTGTGAAGGGAATTGTTTGTCAAATGGTATGGTAATCCCGATAAGTTCAATTCTTGGATCCCTGACACTAATCTCAATTAAACACTCACTACTTTAACTCTATTTTCTTTAATTTCAACAATATTTTCACTCATAATCAAACAATAACATTTTGTGTTTTTTACAATACTCTTTGAAAAGGAAGCTTTGATTGTGACATCAGGTCTTGATTGAATAATTCTATCATTCTGTTTGGATACATCAAATACTAACAGAGGGTAGTAGTAATAATATACATCTTCCTCCATAAAAATATAATCCTTTGTCGATTCATAGTAACTGTTTCTAAACTCTTTAGCAAAATTGTATTGTTGTACAGCATTAAACTTATCAAAATCAAATTTCAAACAGTCATGAGGATATCTCTCTGAATTTAATTCAACATAAATTTCTTCTAATCCACAATTGTCAAATTTACTAGCATTCAGATAGTTGTTATCCCTAGCACATTGAAATGCTACTACAATATATTTTATTTTGTCATATTTTGTACCCATCTTCCATGTGAATTCCTTATTACCATTAGGGATATTATAGCTTTCGAATTGTCTAGAAATGAAAGGCATTTGTACTAACTTACTGCTTTCGAAAATATTCAATAATTTATTCTGCATTTCAAGACTAGGGACAATCTTTGGAATAATCCATTGTAATCTTTTGATGTTCATCTTCGCTGTAAATTTTGTAGCATCTGACGATACAATGCTATTTTTATTTTCAGGAGATCTGTAGAGTGATAACTGATGCTTCCTACCATAGACTATTTTGTTGTAGCATTCAGCAAATCCAAAGATATGTGTCAACGGAATGCAAAAAGTTATAGTGCCTTTTCTATTTTTCGTATATTTATTTATTTTGTATGTTATAATATCCTTAGTTTCTAAAATCCAGCCAAAAGTATTCTGCTTATTCATAGTACTACTATAAGTCAAAAGACCTTTCATCAAACTAGCTCTACCAGGATCCATTATGTTTTCTACTTGAACACCATCCATACTATATGTTGCTCTATCAAACAAGAACATTGGTGCATTATTAGTTAAGGAGACTTCATCAGTTTCTGCTAAAGCAGAGTCATCTAATTTGGAAAGTTCTACTTCGAGGTAAATGTAAGACTTATGCAAGTGTAGATACTGATCACATGTCTCAATAACAAAATTAATTTCTCCATGTTGATTTAAACTAGAACCTGAAGAAGGAAAAACACTTATGAGATTCTCTTTTTGAATGGAAGTATCAGTCACAATAGGAGCATCAACTACGAGTATTCTATCAACGGCTTCTATCATTTTTGATGATTTATATAGCAAGAATTTAAAAGATTTTTTCAACTATTAAATGCGTATAAACTTTAGAACTGTAACGGTGTTTTTATTCTTGACATGGTTTCAAGAAGCATTAAGCAAGCCTATTATTTGTACGGAAAACTCCCCAATCCAATATTTTAGAATACCCAAACTACACAAATGCAATTATCATAGAATGCTAAACAGTAAATCAGAAATAGTTCAGTATGAAGTTTTCAAACCAAACATTATTGAATATGTTTCAGATGCAAAACTATGTAAAAAATTAGTTAGCGAAGTTTCAGTATATACTGATCTTTCTGGATATGAACACTTGGTTGAAAAAGAGCTCAATCATTATCCAATTACACTTTCCGAATGTAGAGAAATGATAAATAACAAGAAATGTGATTATGGAACGTTATCAAAAGGCATCTCTAACACATGGAGTACTAATAACAAAATTGATGTAGATTATCCAAATAGATTTACCAGCATTTTCACCCCTAAAAGATATTACAAGGAGAATTGTATAGTTATTGAAACAAAGGTTTACTCTCATTTCAATCAATCTAAACCAACTAACATTCTTGCCAACATGAATAATTGCAAATATCAAGATGGATTTTGTGACATAAAGAAGAATGAAATTATCACTTGGGATGTTAACAGAGATCAAAAATGTCAATACATCTCGATAGGAATACTTGATGGGATGTACAATAACAAACTTTGGGTTAACAATAAAAACCAAATCGCATTAAACTTTCAATCAAACAAAACTGTGACTGATTGTAACATAGGTCTGATAATTAGTGATGAAGGCTTTGCCGTAAGAAAAATTAATCGAGCCCCATCCCAATACGCTCCAAGACAAATTCCTGTTTCAATTCCAACATATCCTCAAAGACAACAGTATGAGGATGACAGAAGAAAACGAGAGCAAGAAGAACAAAGAAAGCGTGATCTAGAAGATCAAAGAAAACGAGAGCAAGAAGAACAAAGAAAGCGTGATCTGGAAGAACGAAAGCGAGAACAAGAAAGGCAAAAACAGTATGAAGCAGATTTGAAAGATTTTGAGAAAAGAAAACAAGAGAAGCTGAAGAAGGAAGAAGAATTTGAGAAAAAGAAACAAGAGAAAACTAAGAAATCTCAGGAAGAGGCTGAAAGAAAAGAAGTCGAAACGTTGAAGAAACAGCGGAAAGAAGAAGATTGGACAGTTTACGATAAAGACAATCGAAACCCACCTCAAGCAAAATCCAACAGAACCAAAAGAGAGATCGCAGATCTTCGATCGGCTCAAAAAGAACCTGTTAACTTCCAACCATTACCATTACCAGATTACAATGAATATCTAAAAATCAAACAAGACTGTGATAACTTACCAAATTATGAGGCATTCAAGAATAGCAGAGAAGGATGTGATTCACTTACAAGTTATACAGATTTCATAAACAACATTGCAAACTATGAAAAAGAGCAACACTTTAATTTATCAACAGATGAAACTTGGCAACCTTTACCATTCCCAGGATATGAAGAATATTTGAGTATTAAAGAAGATTGTGCTATTCTCCCAAGTTATGATGAATATAAAACCATCAGAGAGAGCTGTGATGCATTCCCAAGTTACATAGAATTTATAAAGAGGATATCAAATTATGAACTATTCGAGACTGGAAAACAAAGACGCATCAGAAGAGAACTATACACAGACTTCCAAGCAGCAGGAGAATTTCAATATCTCGAAAACCAATCAAACAATTTAGTACGCCATACAACCGAAGTAATGTGCGATATTTTCAATGAGCAAAATGAAGTTCTCGAAAGTCTTATCAGAGAAAGTCCCAGAAGATATATTCAGAAACAGTTGAATCATACAGCCATCAAAGTAAGGTTTATAGATTCTCAAGAGTCAAATGGAATTGTTCAAGTTACATTCTGTAAAGAAATTGATGAAGAAGAAATCGATTTCATTGATCTTACTCGTTTCGATGGATACAAGTTGAGCTTAGCGCTAACACTAGGACAAATTCCAATCAAGATTAAAAGTCTTGGAGACAAAATTTGGTACTTTAAGAATGACTACTCTGGAGGAATTATTTCCAATAAACCTCAGCTTCATCCTATGATTGATTTTAGAACTAATATTACTAACATGAAAGATTTCAAGGAATTTGATCTGAAATTCTTAGATGACAAAGTAGTGTTCAATGAGCATATTCTGTTGGATATGAAAACAAATATTGAGGAAGAACTTATAGAAGAAATGAGAGAAAAGTCTGATGTTTCGATTGAGATTCACGCGAGTAATCAAGACTCTACAATGCCTCATGAGATATTAGATGATGTAGAAGGTTTCTTTGGAAAATGGTGGCTTAGAATTTGGAGAGTTGGTGTCACTTTGCCAGCAATTTTAGTATACCTCTTTATAGTCAGATCATTCTGGATGATACTTTCACCAAAAACTTTTATTGATAGGAAAAATAGAAAACGAAGAAGAGAGTATGAGGCTGTAGAATTAAGGGAAATCGTACACCGTCCATCTGTTCAATCGCTTACCGTTGATTAACTTTTATACTAAATAAATAACTCAATAATGAGATTCTTCCACACACAAGAGCAAAATTCTACATCCAGTTATGTGATTAATAAACCCAACGTAAGTAATAAAATAGAACTATTAGATAAACCTCAGGAAGGACTCCCAAGTTTGAAAAACGAAGAAAATAGTAAACCACACCCCAAAGTCACGAAGGCTAAAAACAAAGCGAAACTATCGAAAGAAAATAATGATTTCCTGAAAGCTCTAAAAAGTGGATCTGGTTTTAAGAGAATCTAGACTATGTGTAGTTCTATGTGTATATCACAAGTTTTACAATCAATAAGCTTATTCTCTTCATCCACAAGTTTCAATGTAAGAGTGTTACAGTTATTGACAGCTTTGTGGTAGATCAAATTGATTGGTTCATACTTTATATTTTTTACGTTATTGTTGAATTTGCAAATTATGTTACTGTGAGCTTCATTCAAAAACGAATCGCAGATAAGATTACAAGACAAGTAAACCAAACTATTCTTATTCCAATCCAATGTTCCATCAATCTTCACTATGGCAATAGAGTTTATCTTAATGTCATGTGGAAAATCAAATTGAAAAGCTTTTTCGTTGGACTTTAGATTTAAGAATAAGTGAACCATTTATTAGCTACTAAATTATGAAATCTGATTTCGCTGATTATTCAGTTAAAAATTTTTATTCTAAAAGAAACAACAATCCTCTTCTTCCTAGTTCAATAAGAGCTTGTATAATAGGAAAGTCTGGGTGTGGCAAAACTAATCTTTTAATGAACTTATTATTAGATGAATACTGTGGAGAAGATTATTTAGATTATGATAACTAGTACATATTCTATACCACTCTTTTCCAGCCATGCTATCAAGCAATTATCATCGGTTTTGCGAATGGTTAGAGTAAAAAAGAAATCAGAGAATGTTTTCGAACGCAAAATTTTATGGTTGTCAAAAAAGAAAATAAGGAAATTTCTATACACATTTTTGAAAACTGTGATGACATTCCAGATCCAAGCTGTATAGACACAAATAGAAAAACGTTGATAATATTCGATGATTTAATGCTCGAAAAACAGAATAAAATAGAACAGTATTACACTCGA